GCATTTCGGATGCTCCTACGTTCAACTCATCTCCCCAAGATCTTGATGAGGGGAGTCCTGGCATTTGTGATAACGGACGAGGCTGGGCTATTGGTCGAGGGCGCACTGTTAGGAACCGCAGAGAACGAAGCATTTTGGTTGGTCCCGTAACCGCCGTACCAAGCAATCCTGGTACATCATCGGCGGATTGGCCGGAAATGCTGAGGGATTGCTTGGAGGAATACTCGCATTCCTTTTGTCGACTTCGGGAAAGGGTCGACAACACATGAGAGAATTCATCGAGTTCTAAGGATGGGAATGTGGGAGGAGACCGACCCCCCCCCCCCCCCCCCAAAAAAAAAAAAAAAAAAAAAAAAAAAAAAAAAAGAGCCACAGGCTTCACACCCCCCCGACGTTATCATCACGACGTTGCTGACATGCGCAAACTTCTCAGCCACCTGTAGGCACCCAAGTTACTGAAACCAGCGGGTACTTTAAGAGAGAGAGAAAGGGGGGGGATGCCTCTCTGTCAAAAATGAATCTTATGACGAGTAGCCCATCATGGACGGCAATACGCAGCTGGCCTGTCGATCCCATGGCACAACCTCAGCTCGGGGTTTCGTAAGGAACACAATGATTGAACGGCAACAGGTGCAACACGCATTTTGACTTGTAAGAGCAATGACACTGAGCCCTCTTGAGGTGTGCCTATGATGGAATTTGGCAGCCGGCCGCAGGTCTTAGTTGCCGGGAAGGAGGTGTGGCGTTTGTATTTGGTCTGCCACTTTGTTCGGGGCTTCGAGCTACTTGTTATCGAAGAAAGTACTCCGTACAGACGTTCGCAAATGGTCAAACGTCTGATTCCGCTTGGCATATGTCGAATGCATATGGTTTGAGCTTGCCACGCGAGCCACGGTCGGCATCCTTGCCTCGACGACATGGAAGATGGGCGGCCTCGCTCAGCGCCGCAGCGGTGAGTTCATTGAGCATATCGGGTTGGCATCCGTTATCCGCCGGTAAAGGCGTTGAATCGTTGATAAGGCAGATGGGGCCAGGGACCGAAGCAGGGCTTTCCGAATCAAGGGTTGCCAGAGCCGACAAGGGTCGGTCTGGGAATGGGCCATGAGGATGAGGGAGTTGGCGGGTTGGGTTCGAATAAAGGTCGGGATCGGATGGCGTTTCCGCAAGGAAGCCAGTCGCCATGGTAGACGGCGAACCAATGACATGCTCCAGAGGTCTCACCGAGTCTCGCGATTGTGTCTAATGTTCGGTGGAATACATTGTACCTTGACGAACAAGGTCAAGTTGGGTTGACATTCATCATTCTTTGACTTTGTGAAAGCAGCAGGACGTGACGTCGGCAGCTCGAGGCGGTCGGTGTCGTTGATCTAGACGACACTAAGGTAGAGATACAGATAGCGGCCTACCTCACCGATGCACATTCATGCTCAGGTCTGCTGTGCAGCTTGTGTTATCTGCACAGATGCCGCCAATCGCCTTGCTATGAAGGTATGTGTGAAGTGCACAGCATGGATGGCGGGGCGATGCATCGTCGCAATACTGGTGTCTCATTGTCCCATGGCCTAGGTACCTAGGTGGGAATATTATTAATGAGCCCAGACGAAGGGAAAGATGTCTCGAAAGCGATAGAGGCGTGGATGGGTATCAGTACCCAGAGAAAGAGTCTCCTCAACCTGCGCATATGAGGCTGCGATATCCGTACAGGTACCTGCCTTAAGGTAAGTAAGGTACATATCGCAGGGTCTCTATCTGGCGTACACAGTAGGTATGTAAACCTGGATGGCCGAAAGTCGGGCGGTAATGGCACCTTGACGGGAAGGAAAGAACGTTACCTAATAAACACCCACCATAAACCGTCATGAGGTGCGTGATTGTCAGTAAGGTACTCCGTAGTCAGGAGTCTCAGGACTCAAGACTCAGGATAGATTCGACTACCTTGGGTACTGAGTGATTCTTGTCCATTAGCTGTCGAGTGCGAAAAATCCACGTCCGAACCGGCCGACTGCAATCGGACCCCTGCTCACCAGCGCCCGCAGCCGTTCCATACTCTTACTCTTACAGGAGGATGTGGAAGGGGCACAAGACGCGATTGCACATGTGAATAATTGATACCCACGGACAGCGCTACCAACGGCAGCAAGAACTCATACCAGTCAGAGAGTCCAAGGCGAGGTACTCCGTACTCGGTACGCAATCTGGCAATGAATACCTAGGTACAGAGCACCAGGCAGGCACACATGGAGGATATCTGCGCCTTCCATTGGGTTGGTAAGACTTTGATGGTTGCAGTGCGTCTTATCTGGTTGGTCCCCCACATGGACCACTCAGAGGCTGTCTCTCGAGCATCTGACGGGCGCACATGGGTGGGCGCCGACGGGAGAGCGTGGGAGGGTTCTTGCTTTTCCTTGGATGCTTACCTTTGGTACCTTGACGAACCCAGGAATAACCGTCTTGCACCACATGGCAACCGTCTGGCGCGAGTGAAGATGTCGGCACGATGGCGGCGAATTGCGTGCGGGCTGCGGGCGTCGAGTGAGATCGAGGTCAACGTCAACGTCGATATCCTGCTTGCCTGTTTTTGTTCTGCTAATTTTACACCACGATAATTACTCTTCTAGTCACATATGTACGGTATTAGAAGATGCGCGTAACAACTCGCCACCGTGTCGCATAGCGTTGATGATGGTTTGGCCGTAAGGTGTTTGGGGGTTTGGTTGAGCTGATTGATAACCTGAACTGTCATGTCGAAAAACGGCGCGGCATGCCACGGCTGGTGTGGGATTCCCGCCTTGCCTTATTATCTTACCTAAGGTAAGGTAGTTCCCGTAAGTATCTCTCGTGGTGGGAATACTTGAAGTTTCGAGTGTCTCCCAGCCAAATGATAGGTATCTTTGATTGGCTTCCCAGGGGAACGCCCAGTGCGAGAAGGTACCCGTGGACCTAGGTAAGGTAGGTTAGGTGAGGAAGCCCCCCAACCTTCATGTTTCCCCTGCGAATGAAATCATACCCTCGGCCCCTCCCCCCTCCCCCCCCCCGTTTCCCCCAGTGGTCCCCCTCACCCCCAATCCCGCGCGAATAATCCACTTTCCCGCCTGCCGCTTCCCGCTTCCCCGTATGATGTAGTACCTCATCCTCATGGTATCTTAAGGTAGTGTACTCGTAAGGAGTATCCGCACACTCACAGTCTCATGCTGAGGTGGATGGACGAAGGACGGGCAGTGACGATCAAAAGAGAATGAGAGAAAGGGACAACGAGAGAGCAACTTGGGGAAAGACGGGAACTACCTTACCTTGCGCCGCGAATGTTACCAGTGCCTTCCATTATTGACCACTCCTGAGCAGCAACCATTCATCTCAGGTACGCTGTGCCTACGGGCAGCCGGAACCTTCCTTAGGTACCTACTAGGTGATCACTGCAGGCCAGCCTCGCCCTTTCGCACTTTGCGACGAACTCCAATTCCCTCATTCTTCCTGGCCCTGACGAATCCGGCCCTCGAATCATCGACGGATATATGCCTTGGCCTCCGTCTGCACTGCAATGCGCGCTGCATCGCGCCCATCCCATCCCTCCCTACGCAATTAGACCTCACCTCGCCATCCTCACCACGCAAACGACCCTGATTTTCCTCTTTTGTCGTCGTCATGTCTCTTGTATTCACTCTCCCCAAGCCCTCCTTTGCACGCCGAGGGAATCTCACACCCCCCGGTTCATAGCGTGCTGTGGGAATGAACGGATGGTTATGGAGTATTCAAAGGAATATCTATACACAGTAGGTAAAGTAAAGTACGTGCTGCAAAACTTGACAAACCGCTCCCCTTCTCGGCTTCTCTCCCCTAGACCCCCCCCCCCGGTCACCCTGCGGCCTGCCCACCCCCCTTGCCCCTTCGACACGACACGCCTTTTTATCTCCATCCAATGCCACTTCCTTTCCGCTCCGCCCACGTCTACATCTTTTGCCCGTCCACCTCTCGAGGCCCACTACCTTCACCCTCGCCCTTCCTATTCTCAACCTGAATCGCCGCATCTCATGTATTACAATCGCCTTGTCTACCTTGCGATACCATGACTCTCCCGACTTGATTCTCCCTAATCGCAACCCCAGTCATTCCCATCCGCCTCGGCCGCCAAAACTGAGTACCTACCTTACTTTTGTACGGAGTACAGTCGTTGTCTTCCAGCACCAACAAACAGCCACATCCACAACACACGTTGCGCGCACAAGTCCTGCCATCGCTATCCATATCTTATTGTTACTCCTCCGCCCCGCTGGCCCCATCATCCCGTGCTTCTTCTGCTGTACGACGAGATACCCAGCTCGTCGCGTATCGCAAGTCCCAGCTCGGCTCCTGGTATTCTACGTTACCCCAGACATCGAACCCCGAATCTAGGCACCTCGCCCAGACCCACGCCTTGATCTTCCCGGTCCCGGTCCACCTCCCGGTTTTTGGTCTGCTATCTAAAGAGCCGTCCCCGCCAGTCCTCTTCACATCCGACTTCCTCTTCTGTTTACTCGCCTTTCGCTCCCTCGTCAAGCCCATGCTTCTTGGTTGGTTTCCTGCATTTCCGACCACCGCCGCCGACCTTAAACTGCCAACATTCGCCATCCTTTCCATTCCATGGCTCAACCATTCATCCTCGCTGCATCGTATTCAGTGTCTCCCGCTCGTCGCCCTCTCTGAGCTACTGGCATTCGCCCCAACAGTGACTGCCACACTCGACTGTAGTCAGACTCCACTCAACCCCTGCTGTTTTAGCAGCCGCTGGTCTCATCTGAAGAAAGCTCGTCACAAAGAACTCCGGCCTCAACTCACCCTTCATGTCGACGACTTCATCTCCCTCGCCGTTGCAAGGCCCAACTGGCCGTGTCGATGAGAAATCTCTACCCCAGGGTCAATGCCGCTACATATTGCTGGTACCTGGCATCAAAGGTCAACGATGCGCTTGTGTTCACTTTTCTCTCAATCGATCTACGCCCGGAGCTAGTTGCGACTGTGGGCACATGGCCTGCTATCATGTCAAGACCCCAGAGCCGTCATCGACTAGAGAGGAGGTTGAGCTTCTGAAGCAGCGACTTCAAGCCCTCGAAGAACAACTTGACCAGCAGAGACAAGGTGGCCTAGGAACCGTCGTTGCCAGAGTGAGCGAGCTGGAGGACCTCGTCGACAAAAGCCGTGAAGAAATAGGCCAGGAGATCAAGGGTTCTTATCGCAATATCAACAGAGTATGGCAGTCTGTTGAGCAGCTTGAGCGTCAAACCTCTCATCTCCGGGAAACCCTTCGTTCTCAGTCAGAACACATGGAACGCGTCAACGGGGAGTTGAAAAGCGTCAGCAATCGACAAATGGAGCTTTTCGACGCCGACGAAAGCATCGAAGAAAGACTGGAACAGCTCGAGTCGGATCATGATTCTTTAGCCAGTCGAGGTGGCCAGATCCCGAACATGAGAGAAGAAGCAACCTTGTTACGGTCAGACGCCGTGATGGCCTCCAACGCGCAACAGCCGCTGATAGCCACTCTGTGTTCACAACCTGAGGCCAATGCCAATCCGGGAGAAGCTGCCCGTGCCTCGCCAGCCATCAGCGCCACTGACTCCATCATGAGTTCAGGCAACTGTGGTGCTTGGACAGTTCATATCTCACTTCTTCCGACAGCCTCTCAGCCTTTCCCATTCGAAAGAGACACCAATGCCTACAAGCGCTGCTTGTCCCGAGGTCTTCATCGGACTGTGGTAGTTGGCGGTCCAGATAGTGACTCTTTCGTTGAGGCTGTCACAAAGTCTTTCGGTAGCCTACTCAGAGGAAGATCCTGGATGCCGCTACAGGCTAAGCTTTGCGACGCAGAAAAGCTCCAAGGGCTTCCAATGCTCAGGCCACTAGACTCCAGACTTGTTGATAGCGATTATGATCTCAACTTTCTCAAGAAGTTTTGTGGCGTCTGCGAGGCCAACGGCAAGATCGATTCTCTCTATATAGCCATGCGCCAGGACAAGTTTTCATGGCACTTTCTACGAAACTCTCCGATATTCATAGAGGGTCTCGAAAATTGCTGGATTTACGATCATTTCTTAGATCCTAATGACCCAGTTGAAGACGACCGCATGGAAGAGCACGATCGACCCTCAGCCGGAGATATCGTTCCCAGTCTCCCAAACTTGAAACGAGCAGCATCCGAGATGTCACGAACAGCTGGCTTAACGGCTGCAACGACAGGCAGCGATTCTGACGGCTCTCGAACCAAGACACCCCGGACCACTTGCCTACCTAGTCTAGTTGAATCGCGGAGGCGTTTGGAGACTGTGTGAGATACTTGGTCTCTTTCCTTCCATTACTTTGCCCCTTCGCCGTCTCACTTTGGCCTGTGGGATATGTTTTTACTGCATTTTAGACGCGTGCTTGGCGTCCAGGGCCCGACTGTTCGAAGCAGCAGTGGCGAATGTTGCGCGCTGCGCGCTGCACTGGCGCCAATGCTTCACGAATGAGGTCTTTCGAGACGATAGAAGGTCGATCCACCTGATAGAGGACATTTATACCCATTTCATTTATTTACGCCTGAGGGCACAGAGAAGCACCCTCTTGGTCAGTTTCCTACAAATGTACAGGGGAATTGGGAATTCGGGAATTCGGGAAGAGACAAAAAGTCCTTGAGATAGCTTAGTGATAGTCTTGGATAGTCTTGGATAGTCTTGGTTTTTTGAATAAAAAGCAATCTGTCACAATGCTGTGTTTGATTTGAGGTGTAGAGAAACTGCAAACTCTCGGCGTGGTAGGCTTGTTGTTGTTTACGCTCAACGTCGATGGCTCCTGCCCGTGAAATCCAAATTGGTACCTATGCCGGTAAAGCCCGGGTAGGAGGACTTTTCGGACTAGACGGAAGTAAAGTTAGCGGGCAGAGCAAGACTCGGAGCCGGTGAGATCCGGCAGGTGCCGAAAAAAAGTGCCTACCACCTGCCGTAAGCTCTCCGTGTCCACTAAACCAAAAGTGGAAATGGTGCCGCTCAGCACGGTCAGCCTCATTCTCCACGACGCTAAGCGGCCGAAGCTCTTGCGGCCTGTAAGCTCCGTCGAGTAGACGTCGGGTTCATCAACGACCCTTTTGTCACGTACCTTTAGTTTCTCTTTCTTCCTCTACAATCTTGGCCAGTCCTTCCACTTTACAAACCCGCCACCCTTAGATTGGGGGAAAAGTACCGCAGCTCAGCCTTTCTTTTCTAAGTACTCACTTACGGCAGATCGAACAAGCTTGATTTCCTGGCAGCGCGTCGAGTATCTCGCGATCAGCTTCCCCATCCTAACCCCTTCACCATACGAGCGCACGCCGTTGCAGATCAAGTCCAGAACGGAGGCGCTATGGACTACGATATCAACATGGACGACGTCGCCGACGGTTTCGCACCTCCGACAGCGACGATTGGTGACGGCACAGTACGTAGCGTATCTGGTGGAGTAACTTGCATCTCATCTGCTTGCTTGCTAACCTTTAATGTGAACAGAACATCGCACAAACCGCTATAGCGCTGTCTCCCTCGAACGAACGCGACCTAGAAGATTCGACCATCGTGCGGAATAAGGTACATATCCGAGGCCTGGACACATTGACCACGGACGACATCAAAACCTACGTGAAGAGTCACTTTGGCACTCCAGAGAGAGTTGAGTGGATCGATGACGAATCTGCAAACCTGCTCTTTGGGTCGGAAAGTACGGCGCAAGAGGCTCTGGCAGCACTGAGCGCCATTGAAATTGCCGACGTAACTCAATTGCCTCCTATGGAGACGATTCCTGCCAAGCCCGTCGCATCCCACCCAGACGTCAATCTTCAAATCCGATTCGCCGTTGTTTCCGACAAGAAGATACGAGGCGCTGCTGAGCGAAGCCGGTTCTACCTCCTCCACCCCGAATTCGACCCAGAGGAGAGAAGACGACGTGAGGGAAACAGGAACAAATATCGCAATCGGGACGGAGATGACCGTCGTCGCAATGGCCGTGGAAGAAATCAACGCGACCGAGACTCGAGCCCCGAGGTGTTCCATGCCAGCATGTACGATGACGATGAGGACACACTGGCAGACCGCAGACCAGCACGTCGCCCGAGATCTCGCTCAAGAGATTCGACTCCGCGTGACGAGCGATCTTATGCGTCTCGCAATCAGGAAAAGGAGCTGTTCCCGGGACGGTCATTAGGAGCAGGAAAACGGCAACGAAATCGTTCCGCTTCACCTATGCGGGATCTGGATGGCGACGCAGCGATGGATGTTGAGGCAGCACGCGCGCCGAGGGCCAGCAATCGAAATAATAGGGAAAGGGCATCGGGCATCAGAGATCGCCTGGCTGAGGACAACAAATCCAAGGAATTGTTTCCCATTAAGGGCTCGTCGATGGGCAAGACGCATATGGACAGAGTCATGGACGGTGCAGACGAAGCCACACGAATCATGCAGCAAAAGATGAGCGTGAGCAACGACCGCAACGGCAGGAAAGACCTATTCGATCGGGATAGAGTCGACATTGCGGGTTCCAGTGCTGGATTCTCCATCAAGGGCGCGGCGGGTGCGAACGTCAAGGAGCTGTTCCCGAGCCGCTTCGGAGGTGGTGGCAATACCGGAAAAGAGCTCTTCGCTGACAAGTTAGAAGGCCGTGGCCGTCGGCGGCAGAAAGCAGAGGATCTATTTTCGTAGCGCTTCAATACCTAGAGCGCGTATGCAAGCATCTTGGTAGTTGACAAGGCGAAGGAGACTTTCTTCACGACGAATTGGGGAAAACAACAGACGGCGCACGCTGTCCATTTAGATACCATAGAGGTCTGAACTTTCGCCATGGGCTAGCGCGATAAAGGTACACTTCGTAATAGCAACTGGTGTGTTCAGGCTGGGCATTGCGTGGTGTGAAGTTATTGTTCAATCGGCCGCGTACATCGTCTTCGTCATATTCTTCGTAGTTCCCAGAGGGAGTTGACAGGATTTTGGGATGATCCTCCAACTGTGGCCCCCTCACAGCTGGGTATGGAGGCAAGAGTTGCATTAGTAAACTCCCAGGCCATTGAGGCCTCGTTAGACAGCCACTCTTGTGTATTCATCCCCGAGAGCAGAACACCGGGGCAGAAGGAGCTCCTGTCCTTGGCCGAAGTTCCTGTATCGTGTAGCAGCGAAGGAAGGCACGCCTGATCTGATGTGCTCGCAATTTCCAATCGGTTAAACGCCCCTGACTTCGACTCCTCGTCTGCCCATCCTTCCTCCCATCCGCGTACATCGCGGTATCTCATCCAAACTTCACCATCATACTTCATTCGCCTTTCACCTCACTCAATCACCCGCGGTGATTTTCACATAGAACCCGAGTTCTCTCCTGTTCTATCATCTCGCCGGAACATTCATCTTTCGAAGGCGAAATTGGTTCGTCAACAACAGTCGAGGCACGCGTCAAACGGTCGCCGACAACATCACCTTTTCCGCGTCTCTTACGATCAATCCCAAAATCCACCACCAACCCCCCCATTACACTTCACCACGTTCGTTCCCTTCGCACCAAAGTACTCGATACCGATTTGGTTGACGCACACTTACTAGCACACCCCAGTTGCGAACCCTGCAGTATCTGCCACTAGCCAGCCAACATGGCAGACTTCTTATGGACAAAACCGTTGCCTCCCCGGCGAAGAAGATCAGAGCTGACGCTGAGCAATCCGCCTCCCGATGAAGAAGAATTCGTTCCACACCTTGGCGTTCCATCTATTCGATCGCGCCAGTGGAAGCCCATTCCACGCATCGCGAGTCTCGATGTTCTAAGTGCTGCTAGATTAGGCACAAGCAACTGCCCAAGCATCAGATCAGACGGCTCGCAGTCGTCCTCTCATCGGCTGTCGCCATCACCAGCAGAGCCAACTGAGCCATCCGATACAGTGTGGTATCAAGAGCGAGACGAGACGGAACGTGCTCTCTCACTGGAGCAGATGATTAATGCGTTACACTACACGATGATGACCAAGAACGTCCTCGATCCGGTTCCCAGGGAGTATAACTCTTACATCTTGCATTTGTTAGAGGGTTACTGGGATCTCCAGGAGCGGCTGAAGAAGACGGAGCTGGAGCTCGCAGAGGAGAAGGAGACAAAGTTGAGGAGTCTTGAGGAATTCACTAAGATGTCTGAGGAATGGGAGTCGAAGGAGGCCGACTTCCGCGCTGAGATCAAACGTATGGAACTAGTTCTCGTTGATATGGCGCCTGCAGGTGTTGGTGCAGTGGTTCTGGCCAGGTCTGGCAGTCTCGTCGACAGAAGCGCAAGATCCTCTCGACTCTTCAAGGCCAGGGTCGAGAAGGCCAAAGAAAGTCCTCCGAAAGGTCATTAGCACTTCAACAACGGGGAGGACTCTGAATTCGTTTGCTGACCGGATCCGCGTAGGTGATGACGGCGCCAGCAAGGCCGACGGCCTAGATAACACACGGATTTCTATGGGTTCTGGAAGTCCCCGCCTGAACCATCGAACCTTCTGTAAGTACACAGAAACGTCTGCCGTATCATTTGTACCGTGTATATACTGACAGCACAGTGTCAATGCAACCTAATTTGGATGACAATGCCGATGTTGAACTGAGCAAAGGTCTGAGAAAGGCTGAACGACGACAACAACGGGCCTCGAGACGCAGGAAGAAGGAGGGCCTCCTTCCACCGGTCAATTTGGCATTGGATAGCTCATCGGAAGAAGAAGCAAACAAGTTAGCATCGGTTCAGAAGACAGCCAGGTTGCCTGGATTGGAGTCCATGAAGCCTCGACTATCACGGCGACAGGCACCACCCGCGCAAACCGCCACCCCAGAATCGTCCGCAAAAGCAGCCGACATGTCTGGAACGGGTGAGCATGACGATGTACATTACCGGCCTGAGGACGCACCCCACACCGGCGTAGAATCGGCTGATAACAGATCGGCCGCAACGGGCATGCCGAAACATGAGCGGCCGACAGGTACCGACCCGGATGTCATGACGGCCACGACTGACCGTGAAACCTCAGGGACCCGCCGCCACAAGAGAGACTTCTCCTTCGATGCTGGAGAAGATAGCTTTCGGCTACAGACCCTGTCTGGCAGTGCTGGTATTTCTGACGAAAACGATATCTGCATGGGCAGCCCAGAGGCTTTCCCTTTACAGCGCCGCCTTTCGTCAGATGAAGAGGCTTCCAGGCCATCAGTCACTGCAGGGCCTTACAACCAGCAAGATCAGATACTTCGCAGCGATACACAGGAGTCGCCAGACAAAGACGAAGGCAATGCCCTCGAAGGCAGCTCTGAAGTAGAGCAAATCGGCACAGAAGGCGGCAGACGGGCCACGAGACCTAGTCTCCTACGTAGACGACGAAGCTCCCGCTCACACAAATCGTCCCACGAGTCCTTGGGCAACAAACAGAGAGCCGTCAGCAATGAAGCCGGAGGATATGGCATGGCTAGCTCAACGGAGCAAAGTACCACAGGCGCAAATCAAACACACATAGCGGCAAATGAGGCCTCGAAGCGGACGAGTAGCGAGGGACAGGGCCAAGGCTGGTCCCCAGGTTGGTCCAGAGGCTAGAAGCAGATATCGCGTGGTTGTGATGGTTGCGGGCTTTTGCTCCGAAAGGGCGGGATTTCTAGCAGAATGTACTTGCTTAAGGAGTTACGGTAGCCTACGCTTACTGCGGTTTCAAGGCCATGTTGACTGACATCTCTCTCTTTCTCTCTCCTTGGATCGCATGAATGGCTGGAACATCGTCACTCCATGTGTGTCAATCGCGCCCAAAGCCCATAAAATGCAGTCTAGATCGAGCCATTGTGGACATGACGTGTTCCATCGGATGCTGGTGACCTAACGCCCCCCATCATCGACTCCTCAATCCTTACTCGCGCTTGCATGAAGCCGTTTCTGTCGGAAAGCTGGTGTGTACAAGTATGTGCCCATGCCAAAACGGGAGACTGAGTTCCGCAAAGCTCCAGACTTGGCTTTGGAAAGGGAAGATGGATATGCCACGTGAGCTCCTTGGGCCCCCCCGGCAGGAGACTACCTCTTTTTTTTCTCCTCCTGTTCTCCGAGAGCCCATGACCCTTGCTTGAACAACCACCAGGGTTCCGGAGCGAAGCTCGCGAAGCGAAGGGGAGAATCAAACCGACCCCTGGGACAGATCATCAGGCGAGGCAGTGGAAGAAAGAGGAGACGACTGCGGGCCGTGTGCAACGGGCCGAACGCGGATGGACGCGTACAAGCTCATGGCTCGAATAGGAGGAGGTTTTTGGTGTCACTTACCATATATCATATATTCACAACATCCTCCGTCACGAGCACACTTGGTGAGAAGTTATATGTGACCGCAATAACGACTAACAGCCTGGCATTCACACCATACAATACTTGAAGTCTTCCGATCAATAGTATCGATTCCAAATACGCCAAAAATACGATGTGATGAAAACACTGGGTAGACTGTAGGCGTCAAGACAAACTCCTCGCCAACCCCAGATGAGTAGCAATATCCGGCACGGCCAGTGACACGAAATCGGGCATGGGAAGGGGAAGGGGAAGCCACTACCAAACAACAGACTAGTGAAAGGGAAAGAACCCAACGAAGCCATGAACAGTCGGGAGAGCGGGGGCCTCTTCACGCCCCCCCCCCCTCCCCTAGGCGGACGGAGAAAAGCACTATCTAAAACTCCCGCTAGTGCCCAGGCTTTACCAGGCCAGGCTCAACATTATGTATAGAAAAAATCCAAAGAGTCTAGACTTCTAGACTTCTAGACCTTGGGGGACGGGCGTCCGGGCCCCGTTTCTTAAGGGCCGGCCGGAGGAATGCATTTCTATTAGCGGAAGACCGAGGACAGAGAGGCAGAGAGAGAGAGGGGGGGGGAGGGATTGCTGCAAACAAACTTGCACCGATGCGGCCACTTGCTCCGAAGGCCCGCCGTTCCAAACAGAAGCCACTCTGCGCGCACCACGGAGATGGACGGACACGGACACGGCCGGACGCGGGAAGGGGACTGGGAAGGGGAATAAGAGGGTGTGTGACTGACGAAGGCAAGAAGGGAAAACGAAAACGGTCTTGTAACTTTGAACGCCGGCGGTTGATTAGCGAAGGCGTTTCGTTACCAGATTCCTGGGTCATTCTGTCGGGGTTTCCTAGCGCCCCCCCCCCCCCCTCTCTCCCCATGAATCTGGCTTTGAACCATGACTACGTAGAAGTCCGGGTAAGACTATGGTCGCAATGGTGTTTTGTGAGTCGACGACTCGACCGTTGCGATTCCAAGCCTCTGGCGTCCGCATCCTTCTAGGTGCATATTGTATTGCGCGGCGGCTTGACGGGCTCGGGGATGACCGCGTCCAGTGGTTGTATATCGCCATTTTATCCGCTGAACGAAAGTCTTGAACTCCTATCGCGGGAGTGGCCTTGAATTTTGTCTGACTAGGGCTACACTGTTTGTTTCTCCTTCAACTTACTCATGTATGGAAAGCCTTTGGCATCTGAGTTGAACGATATCGAATGAACGGCCAGAGGAGAGCAAGAGAAGGTTTCCCTTCATTCCCTGCCTCGGCTTGACTGTTGAAGTGACTTACTTCACAGAGCTACCAGCGTTGATAACTGGATGGTGTCGTAAGAAAGGGTACTTGTTCTTTGCGAGACTGATCGCGAACGCAGACTGCAACTACATCCGAGGTCATCATCATCACTTGATGAGATCAAAGAAAGGGGATTAGAAAGACAACAAGCCGCGAACCAGGATGGAATTTTCGCCCTCGAAATTGCTCTCTCTCTCTCTCTCTCTCTCTCTCTCTCTCTCTGTCTCTCTCTCTCTCTCTGTCTCTCTCTCTCTCTCTGTCTCTCTCTCTCTCTCTGTCTCTCTCTCTCTCTCTGTCTCTCTCTCTCTCTCTCTCTCTCTCCAACTTAGACGTCTAGAGCAGAGAGTCATAACTGTCGTAGACTTCAAGCCGTTCTACTTTGCTTCTCGCGTATTGGCTGCCACACAGCCACCGTGTATAGCCCGATCAGAGGGATAACCGTTTGCGTCACTTGAATATGCGGGCAGACCAAGTGAACACAAAAATCTCGCGCGGCGGGTGAAGTATAACGTTCTCCCGCGGCACCGTGGCACCTCAGAGTCCGACACAAGAGGAATATCTTCCAGCAGAGAAGGTTTCAAAGGCGTTGTGACGGACGCGTGGAACGGTACTGATGGTCTGCAGCTAGTAGACCAAGTGGACTGACGAGTGCAAATAGAGGCGTTAAGGGTGGTCCTGAACATCGACGGCTTTGCTACACAAGGTAGTTAGTGAGCTGATTCGAGTTGCCAAGCCGCGAGGCACCGCACCGAGAACAATTGCATTGTCTCCCTACCTTCGTCTATCGAGTGTTGCCGCGCATGGCATCGGATCTTTGGCAATTTATGCCGTGAGTCTGATGTTCCTCCTTTAAAGAGAAGTCGTCGTCGTCCTCCTCATCATCCTCATATTCAGTGTCGTCTGTTTCCCAGTCTGTGCCATCGGAACCCGAGACTGGATGTCAATGCAGTTCAAAGTCCGTGTGAAGAGGCAGGACACGCGTCTATTGGACAGCCAGGGCCCTAAGGGTCCTTTGGACCCGTAGACCATAAAAAGAAACTCTTCGCCTCCTGACGTTGGAAAGAGGGGAGGAAAACAAAAAGATGACAAATGTTGGAAAGTCTGATAAACCATACAAAAGTCAAACAAATGCTGTCATGTATTGTGCCGCTAACCGAGCGCCACTGTTGTGAATCGGACCAAATGTTGATTTGAACCGGCTCCCTGACATTTCGTTCCCTTCCCTTCGGACGCATAGTTCAGTTAAGGAGACATGACTGGCTGGCACTTCGTACCGCAATGTTGAGAGGGGTGAGGTACCAATGATATTTTGTTATATCTGTGCACACGGCATGAAGTCATGCCAAAAGTCCTCTAGCGTCTTTGGCGACGAACGATGCCGCGAAGGAAAGAGTTCGACGCTTGTGAGGTGTTGGCGCCCCAATGGCCTAGACACGAACTGCGGCCGACGCGCACCATCTTCTGGTGGTATCGTGTAGTTTCACTGTAATTGCGTCGTTATGCAGCCACTTTTCTCCTTTCTTCGCTCCCTACCTACCTCTGTCTCTCTATCTCATCGTCAGCTCAGGGTATTAGTTCACCATGATTTTCGATAGCAAACCTTCAGCTCAATGCAAGTAGGTAGGCGGCGGCAGGAGGGTGGAACGATGGTGGTCTTTGCAGTATGGACCTGCATTGACGGTGTGGCTGGCTGTGTACGTGCGAGAGAGTCTTGTGTCGATGGCAGTGTAATAATGAGATGTGATGCTGTCGTCGCTTCCATTTTGGGCACTGACCATGGTCTGTCTGTCATTTGGCCCTACACACAAGGTACGTACTGCGCAGGCGGCAGTAGGTGATTTTAGCGCACCCGGAAGATGCACTCTTGGTACTGACTGTTTTGACCCGAGAGTCAACACACAGGCACGACAGGTTTAAAGACTAAAGGACTGGAGGGACCAGGGTGGGGCAATATTTGTCATGATGGAATTTGCGCCCAGGATAGGTTCACCACTAGGCATGTCTCGCTCTGTTCGCTCTACCGGCTTTTCCATCCGTACCTCACCTAACTACTTGCTCGCAGGTCTACTTGGGACCAGCGTCTAGGGTCTCTTCCATCTTGTACCGGAGCCAAACTCCGTGAAATGTGGCGTTACCAGAGGCGTGTGGCTTTAACCAGCTAGAGTAACACCAAGGACATACTGGGTCCTGACGCCGTTCTACATAGCAGGCAAGGGTCTTGGGAAGATTGTGTTCGTGAGAAAACCTGGTGGCATCTAATTTTCGAGATGCATTATTTGGATGCTACGTCCGACGTTGATCAGGGGCTATTCTAAGTGGGATTTCTGTTGGTGACTTCGTATACGAGTTTGGACAAGACGTCACAGATGCGACATCTGGCAAAGAACAAGCATCCATCGAGTAACTTGGTAGGAAGGAAAGAGAACCAGGGAAGAAGCTGGGAAGTGAGGCTGAGGCCGTGAGGCTTCTTCGAAACATGGGTATGCGTACGGAGTGTACCGCACGCACAGAGAACAACAAGCAAGTGCCAGGCCAGGGCAAGGTGCTTCATCCGCCGACAAAGTGTTCGTAAACGTCCTGCAGCAAGCAGGGCAGGTGGGAGAGTGGGAGGTGGATCGTGGATGGATCACCATCATGTCTGGGTTGTGTGGCTCCCGTCCTGGATTGGAAAAAAAAAAAAAGAAAAAAAAAAGGATTTGGGTTCACATTATTTGGCTGTGACGGTTGGGATTCCTTTTTCCTGTTGTCTGTTGCACGCCGAGATCGAATCGGGGTGAACCACAGCCGCGGATATGAGTAGTGATATCCGTTCTGCAGGTCTGGGAACCGGTGAGGGACCAAGTTTTGGAGAGACTGTTTTTGTCATCCCTGTCGTGGAACCATCGGGTCCGGGGGGGGGGAGGGGGGGTGGTTTACCGATGCAGTTGAGGTTGCATTCCCATTTGCATTTGCATTTGATCTGGAACTCGGGGTTCGATGGGGGATCG